GCACAATAAATTTATTTGTATTTACAAGCACGGAAACCACAGTAGCGGAAGATATCTTTAAAAATGAAAAATTTAATTCTTTAATATAGAAGAATTATTAGAGTTCGCTAAAGTTAAATTAGCCACAAACGGAAGCGATCTCCCTTATATTATTAGCATCCAAAACATTAAATCAGAATTGTAGAACTTTAAAAATTAAAGCAATAAAAAACCCCCAAATAATTAATGATATGAAAATTATTTAGAACGTAAGAGACAACTTTTTGCTATAAAATAACCTTGTCCCATAATGATAAGACAATTTGTAATTCATAAAATTAGTTAGCCTTAATCAATGATACTTGCGTATACGCCCTCCTGAACCTGCGAGAACCATATTGTAAGTTTTTGAGAACGTACGGATAGGCACAAAACTGCTGAACGACTTTAATGGACCAGTCTCGCTAAATGAAAAACTCCAAGGTTTCTTCATAATTCAACAGTAACAATTGGTGAAACTATTTTGGAGTCGAGGGAAGTCCACTTAGTTGAACAATAACCTCCGTTATTACAACTAATGGGAGAGAAGACGAAATTCGAGGAAGTTCTCTCACTACATATGATCAAGGAATTAAACATAAACAACACAAAACGCGGGAAAAACTATGAAGCAAAACAATCATAGAACCTTCCGTTGGCTACGGATCATACATCATACATCTACTATTAGTAACAGGATCGTAACGCCAAAAACTCTTTTACGTTGCGCCAGAAGACAGTCGCGTTTAAGGAGGGTAGAGCTAACACCCAAAATAATATAAAATATAAAATAAAAATAAGAGTAAGCATTGATTGCAAAATCAACAGCAGTTAAATGCCCTCAATAAAGTTCTTCGGAAACAAATTGCGCTTAGAAGCTAGCCCTGGCCAAATGTACGAGTGTGCATTGATTGCGCAGCTAACAGCAGTTTAATGCCTTATATAAAGTTCACCCGAATCAAGTTGCGCCTAGACTGCATCTTTTTGGTTAGCGATCGTGGGAATATAGGGCAGCGAGTTTTTTGCAAGTTGATAGAAACAAATGGAGAAATATCAAGAAAGAACGCTATAGTCGAGTACCTCGACTAACAGATACACATTACTCAGCTAAAGGGACCAAAGGGAGATGGAGATATGCGAGCAGCAAAGCGAGATTGGAATGGGCCATCTACCCGCGATCTCAATATATGGTTATGTGGGCGGTAGAAAGATTTAAGCGTTATGGGCGTTAGAGTGGGCGAGACAAACTTTTTTTTGAGTCAATTGATAGGTATTGTCGAGGCTAGTACACAAATGTTAAAGTTTTGTTTTTAGCATGAAAATTGTGGGCGTCACATGCCTTGGCGGTTTGTGGGCATTAGGGTGGGCGCGGCAAACTTTTTTTGGATCAATCGATAGGTTTGACGAGACTAACACATTTCTGTTAAATTTTTTGCTAGCATGAAAACTGTGGCCGCCACTGGTTTGGGCAGTTCGTGGGCGTTAGAGTTTGCTTGGCATATTCGCGTAACAAACTTGTACGCAGCAAGGCTACGGAATCTCAATCTGAAATCTTAATTCTTTATATTTGATAGTTTCCGAGATATCAGCGTTCATACTTACGATTTTTTGAAGATTGCTACATTTCAGTTAAAATTTGTATTCTAGCATTAAAACTGTAGAGGACACAGTTTTCTGCGGCTTGTGGGCGTTAGAGTGGGCGTGCGCTGCGCAAAAAGCTCAGGAATCTACATGCCAAATTGCAACTTTCTAGCTTTTGTAGTTTTCGAGATCTCAGCGTTCATACGGACGGACAGACAGACCAACATGGCTAGATCGCTACGGCTAGTGATCAAGAATATATGTACTTTAGGGGGTCTAGTATACCCTTTTACTCTACGAGTAGCGGGTATAAAAATGTACTGGCCAATATATATAATATATACATAATATGTTGGAATCGCAAAGTAATAATAATTATCATTATAGAGCGTATTTGAAAACAGTTTTAAGCTATGGGAGTTATGCCACCGATTTTTTTTCAAACTTTGGAAGAATAATAGCAAGGAAATATGTTTAGCCGGACACGAATTAAACCATTTGCATTATTTGATCTCACATCATATTATAAATAGTTGTTGAACCTGGATAAATAATTAAATTGGTCTTAGTGGCCATCGGCCAAGGCAAGAACTTTATTCATTGACTTTCAAAGTTAGAGTGTCCTACAACCAGCTATTCGCGGCAGCGCTGCCTGCAAGCATTGGCAGCGGCCGCCATGTCTATATCAATGTAACTTATATGCTTACAAATGTATTTGGCTGATAGCAGCAAGAACGCGAGAGAAGTTGTACATGCATGGGTTGTATGTGACTGCACTCAGGGCATGAGAATATGCTGACACTAGCACTTCCCATAAGTTGGGCTCTGAGGCGCGATTATATTTCGGTTGGCCGCACGAGTCTAACGACCGGGTCAGCCAGCCTATATTGCAATGCAACCATTACAATTTTAGTCAGAGAGTAAATACTATAAGCGGGCAGGGCAATTTTTCCGACAGTTTGAAGTGTAGACTGAAAATGGAACTAATGACGATCACCGCCGATACCGTGATTAGTGTACCTCATCACTAAAAAAAAGTTTTGTATCAATGGAAAGCATTTCTTTCCAATGGTATATTTTCACTACTGTAAAAATAAACTGCACATTTTTAATTAAACTTTCAACACGATTGCTTGTGGATAGGGGTGAGACTTGGGCTCGTGTGTATCCCCGTGCACTTTCTCCTGCTGATTCTCAGTAGATAATATTTTGAAATGCTATAAAAGGATTCCGTCGGATACTACATTTAAAACCGTCAAAAAAAGTTGCCCTGCCCGCTTATAATAGCTACTAATGTTCCATTTTAATTTACCGTATATGTTTACCGAAAACGAAACGTAACGGTATTTGTATTATTTTGTCATTAATTTCCCGATCCTTTATATGACATCTATATGATATAATAGTCCAGTTCTTGTTAAATTGAATTCGAAAATCTAAATATTACAAAAATGTTATTTACCGGAGTAGAAGAGAATATGGTCAAAAATGGTTTTCTATTATTTTTCCATTATTTATCCGATCGTTTCTATGGCAGATATTGTTAACATTTTCCTTCTACATTTCTTAATTAGTAAAATTAATATATATCCACAAGTAAAAGTGAATATCTCAAAAACACCCTATTATACCCGTTACTCGTAGAGTAAAAGGGTACACTAGATTCGTCGAAAAGTATGTAACAGATAGAAGGAAGCGTTTCCGACCCCATAAAGTATATATAATCTTGATCAAAATCACTACCCGAGTCGATCTAGCCATGTCCGTCTATCCGTCCGGATGAACGCTGAGATCTCGGAAACTAAAAGACCTAGGCTATTGGAAATTGGCTGGCAGATTCCTGAGCTTTTTAGGCAGCGCAAGTTTGCTCCAGCACGGTGCCACGGCCACTCTAACGCCCACAAACCGCCCAAAACTGTGGCTCGTACACTTTTGGTGTTAGAATAAAATTTTAACTGACATGTATTGCCCTCATCAATACCTATCGACTGACCCAAAAGAATGCCCACAAACCGCCCACAAACTTCAAAAATTCGTAAGTATGAACGCGGATATCTCGGAAACTATCAAAGATAGCGAAGCAAGTTTGTCACGCGAATATGCCACACCCACAAACCGCCAAAACTTATGGCGCCCACAATTTTTATGCTAGAAAAAAATTTTAACTGGAATTAGTCTCGTCAATACCTTTCGATTGATCCAACAAAAAGTTTGGCACGCCAAACCTTAAATCCCACAAACCGCCAAAGCCTGTGGCGCCCACAATTTTCTTGCTATAAAAAAATTTGAACTGAAATGTATTAGTCTCGTCAATACCTATCGATTGATCCAAAAAAAAGTTTGGCACGCCCAACCTTAACGCCCACAAACCGCCAAAGCCTGTGGCACCCAAAATGTTCATGCTGCAAAGAAATTGTAACTGAAATGTATTAATCTCGTCAATACCTATCGATTGACCCAAAAAAAAGTTTGCCACACCCGCTCTAACGCCCATAACGGTTTAAGCAGTCTACCGTCACATAACCACATATTGAAATCGCGAGTAGGTGGCGCCTTTCAATCTCGCTTTGCTGCGTGTGTATCTCCATTTCCATTTGGTCCCTTAAGCTGAGTAATGGGTATCTGATAGTTGAGGTACTAGACTGTAGCGTTCTTCCTTCCATACTATGTTATAAGGTTCTCAATAGCGCAATGCTACATGCTTACATGCAAAGTTATTGCTCTATATATGATTTTGTGGAGTAGGCAGATTGCTAATGTTTTGGCATACTGACGGTCTGGATGCAAAATGTATTGGCGGAAAGTGCTGTGATATATAGTTCTATGTTTTACTATTGTTAATGCGAAAATAATTGTATTATGTTGGTATATGGGCCTAAATTTACTTGGGAAGAAATAATCCACAGTGACAGAGCGCACCAAGTATACTCCCCGTACTTTATACAGTGGCTGAATTGAAAATCTGTTATAATAGTCCAACCGTAATGGGTATTACACCAATCTATAGCGTTCTTCCTTCCTTACTATTTTATAAGGTTCTCAATAGCGCAAAAAGTGCTACATGGTTACTTGCAAAGTTATTGCTCTATATATGATTTTGTGGAGTCGGCAGAATGCTAATGTTTTGGCGTACTGACGGTCTGGATCCAAAATGTGTTGGCGGAAAGTTCTGTGATATATAGTTCTATGTTTTACTATTGTTAATGCGATAATAATTGTATTATGTTGGTATATGGGCCTAAATATACTTGGGAAGAAATTATATACAGTGACTGAGCACACTCAGGTGCACAGTCCCCGTATTTTATTATTATTATTATTTATTAATTGAAAATCTGTCATAAAAGTCCAACCGTAATGAGTGATACACCAATCGGTTTCTAAATGAATACATAATGTAGTGTAGTTCACGTACAATTTAAGGGACCGATTTATTATTTGACTTTAAATGTGCTTCAGTTATAAACATTTCATTTACATAGGTACTTTAGGCTTATTACTTTGTAGTAAAGTCTGGCCAATAATTTATATAGTATTTTTGTGTTCTCCCATCAAACAATCTTTCAAGCCAATAGTCCAGGCTATTAAGTAAATTATCCTCCAAAAGAATATTTGAGTCTGTATCAGATTCTTCAGAGTATCCTCCTTCAAGGAACGTCCCGACCTCAGGATCCTCCTTTGTGTTCATAAGTATTTTTGTTATTTTAAGTATTCTCTGAAATTGAAAAGAGTTACCATAGATTACAAATCGTTCATCTTTATGCGTAAATATTAGAAAATATATACTAAGGACCATAGAAACCTTGTTCAACTTAATCTGTGCGGACTGCTCGACAGTAAAATTTAGATCAAATGGTTCGATTAGAATAATTTTTGGCATGTAGATTGGTATTGATAATAAGAACAACAACTCATTTAAGTTTTAACAAAATTTTTGAGAAAGGTTATGGGCAAAAAGCTCAGGAATCTACATGCCAAATTGCAACTTTCTAGCTTTTGTAGTTTTCGAGATCTCAGCGTTCATACGGACGGACAGACAGACCAACATGGCTAGATCGCTACGGCTAGTGATCAAGAATATATGTACTTTAGGGGGTCTAGTATACCCTTTTACTCTACGAGTAGCGGGTATAAAAATGTACTGGCCAATATATATAATATATACATAATATGTTGGAATCGCAAAGTAATAATAATTATCATTATAGAGCGTATTTGAAAACAGTTTTAAGCTATGGGAGTTATGCCACCGATTTTTTTTCAAACTTTGGAAGAATAATAGCAAGGAAATATGTTTAGCCGGACACGAATTAAACCATTTGCATTATTTGATCTCGTATCAAATTATTAATAGTTGTTGAACCCGGATAAATAATTAAATTGGTCTTAGTGGCCATCGGCCAGGGCAAGAACTTTATTCATTGACTTTCAAAGTTAGAGTGTCCTACAACCAGCTATTCGCGGCAGCGCTGCCTGCAAGCATTGGCAGCGGCCGCCATGTCTATATCAATGTAACTTATATGCTTACAAATGTATTTGGCTGATAGCAGCAAGAACGCGAGAGAAGTTGTACATGCATGGGTTGTATGTGACTGCACTCAGGGCATGAGAATATGCTGACACTAGCACTTCCCATAAGTTGGGCTCTGAGGCGCGATTATATTTCGGTTGGCCGCACGAGTCTAACGACCGGGTCAGCCAGCCTATATTGCAATGCAACCATTACAATTTTAGTCAGAGAGTAAATACTATAAGCGGGCAGGGCAATTTTTCCGACGGTTTGAAGTGTAGACTGAAAATGGAACTAATGACGATCACCGCCGATACCGTGATTAGTGTACCTCATCACTAAAAAAAAGTTTTGTATCAATGGAAAGCATTTCTTTCCAATGGTATATTTTCACTACTGTAAAAATAAACTGCACATTTTTAATTAAACTTTCAACACGATTGCTTGTGGATAGGGGTGAGACTTGGGCTCGTGTGTATCCCCGTGCACTTTCTCCTGCTGATTCTCAGTAGATAATATTTTGAAATGCTATAAAAGGATTCCGTCGGATACTACATTTAAAACCGTCAAAAAAAGTTGCCCTGCCCGCTTATAATAGCTACTAATGTTCCATTTTAATTTACCGTATATGTTTACCGAAAACGAAACGTAACGGTATTTGTATTATTTTGTCATTAATTTCCCGATCCTTTATATGACATCTATATGATATAATAGTCCAGTTCTTGTTAAATTGAATTCGAAAATCTAAATATTACAAAAATGTTATTTACCGGAGTAGAAGAGAATATGGTCAAAAATGGTTTTCTATTATTTTTCCATTATTTATCCGATCGTTTCTATGGCAGATATTGTTAACATTTTCCTTCTACATTTCTAAATTAGTAAAATTAATATATATCCACAAGTAAAAGTGAATATCTCAAAAACACCCTATTATACCCGTTACTCGTAGAGTAAAAGGGTACACTAGATTCGTCGAAAAGTATGTAACAGATAGAAGGAAGCGTTTCCGACCCCATAAAGCATATATAATCTTGATCAAAATCACTACCCGAGTCGATCTAGCCATGTCCGTCTATCCGTCCGGATGAACGCTGAGATCTCGGAAACTAAAAGACCTAGGCTATTGGAAATTGGCTGGCAGATTCCTGAGCTTTTTAGGCAGCGCAAGTTTGCTCCAGCACGGTGCCACGGCCACTCTAACGCTCACAAACCGCCCAAAACTGTGGCTCGTACAGTTTTGGTGTTAGAATAAAATTTTAACTGACATGTATTGCCCTCATCAATACCTATCGACTGACCCAAAAGAATGCCCACAAACCGCCCACAAACTTCAAAAATTCGTAAGTATGAACGCGGATATCTCGGAAACTATCAAAGATAGCGAAGCAAGTTTGTCACGCGAATATGCCACACCCACAAACCGCCAAAACTTATGGCGCCCACAATTTTTATGCTAGAAAAAAATTTTAACTGGAATTAGTCTCGTCAATACCTTTCGATTAATCCAACAAAAAGTTTGGCACGCCAAACCTTAAATCCCACAAACCGCCAAAGCCTGTGGCGCCCACAATTTTCTTGCTATAAAAAAATTTGAACTGAAATGTATTAGTCTCGTCAATACCTATCGATTGATCCAAAAAAAAGTTTGGCACGCCCAACCTTAACGCCCACAAACCGCCAAAGCCTGTGGCGCCCAAAATGTTCATGCTGCAAAGAAATTGTAACTGAAATGTATTAATCTCGTCAATACCTATCGATTGACCCAAAAAAAAGTTTGCCACACCCGCTCTAACGCCCATAACGGTTTAAGCAGTCTACCGTCACATAACCACATATTGAAATCGCGAGTAGGTGGCGCCTTTCAATCTCGCTTTGCTGCGTGTGTATCTCCATTTCCATTTGGTCCCTTAAGCTGAGTAATGGGTATCTGATAGTCGAGGTACTAGACTGTAGCGTTCTTCCTTCCATACTATGTTATAAGGTTCTCAATAGCGCAATGCTGCATGCTTACATGCAAAGTTATTGCTCTATATATGATTTTGTGGAGTAGGCAGATTGCTAATGTTTTGGCATACTGACGGTCTGGATGCAAAATGTATTGGCGGAAAGTGCTGTGATATATAGTTCTATGTTTTACTATTGTTAATGCGAAAATAATTGTATTATGTTGGTATATGGGCCTAAATTTACTTGGGAAGAAATAATCCACAGTGACTGAGCGCACCAAGTATACTCCCCGTACTTTATACAGTGGCTGAATTGAAAATCTGTTATAATAGTCCAACCGTAATGGGTATTACACCAATCTATAGCGTTCTTCCTTCCTTACTATTTTATAAGGTTCTCAATAGCGCAAAAAAGGGTACATGGTTACTTGCAAAGTTATTGCTCTATATATGATTTTGTGGAGTCGGCAGAATGCTAATGTTTTGGCGTACTGACGGTCTGGATCCAAAATGTGTTGGCGGAAAGTGCTGTGATATATAGTTCTATGTTTTACTATTGTTAATGCGATAATAATTGTATTATGTTGGTATATGGGCCTAAATATACTTGGGAAGAAATTATATACAGTGACTGAGCACACTCAGGTGCACAGTCCCCGTATTTTATTATTATTATTATTTATTAATTGAAAATCTGTCATAAAAGTCCAACCGTAATGAGTGATACACCAATCGGTTTCTAAATGAATACATAATGTAGTGTAGTTCACGTACAATTTAAGGGACCGATTTATTATTTGACTTTAAATGTGCTTCAGTTATAAACATTTCATTAACATAGGTACTTTTAGGCTTATTACTTTGTAGTAAAGTCTGGCCAATAATTTATATAGTATTTTTGTGTTCTCCCATCAAACAATCTTTCAAGCCAATAGTCCAGGCTATTAAGTAAATTATCCTCCAAAAGAATATTTGAGTCTGTATCAGATTCTTCAGAGTATCCTCCTTCAAGGAACGTCCCGACCTCAGGATCCTCCTTTGTGTTCATAAGTATTTTTGTTATTTTAAGTATTCTCTGAAATTGAAAAGAGTTACCATAGATTACAAATCGTTCATCTTTATGCGTAAATATTAGAAAATATATACTAAGGACCATAGAAACCTTGTTCAACTTAATCTGTGCGGACTGCTCGACAGTAAAATTTAGATCAAATGGTTCGATTAGAATAATTTTTGGCATGTAGATTGGTATTGATAATAAGAACAACAACTCATTTAAGTTTTAACAATATTTTTGAGAAAGGTTATGGGATTAAAGAGGGCGTGGCGCACTTCTGAATCAAACTTGCGCTGCGCAGGAAGCCCAAGAATCTACATGGCAAGTCCCAATATTCTATCTCTTATAGTTTCCGAGATCACAACGTTCATATCAGCGGACGGACGGACGGAAATGTTTAGATCGACTCGGCTAGTGATGCTGATCAAGAATTTATATACTTTACTTTATTTATATACATACTTTCCGACTAATCTAGTATACCCTTTTACTAAGGGAGTAACGAGTATAATAATTATTTTTGTTGTCTCTTTTCCCCGTGTTCTCGTTACTCCGTTGCGTTTAGTCCCTTTTCCCAATCGCCTTGTCACCTTGACCAGTTCCCATTTTTTTCTCGTTAGCGAATCTTCGTTATCCAAATGACTTAGATGAAAATTTTATTGATGGAGACATTTCTGAGGAAAGCCGTGTATTGCTTATAGGGTAAGTGCTAGAGTTGAGGGGAGTCCATAGTCCAGTAACTTCAGTTATGGGAAAACCAGAACCAATCGAATCAAGGAAATTAATATGCCCAAAAGCAGAATGTTGTAATGGTGACGATCCAAATTTAATATTATGAATTAAAAGAACAGTTCAGACATATTGGTATTTGTGTCTAACCGAAGTAGACACTTCTGGGTCACGCCGCGGCACAAGGGGGTAGTGAGCGCTTGAGATAGTGTAGTATTCCGTGCCGTGTTCCCGGAGGTAGGAAGTTATAACTTGGCGTGTGAACGTACTGTCGAGTTTGCGTAATTGGCACGGCTGGCACTGCAGAATGTGTTGACCGCTTGGCGGGTGAATTCATATGTTTGCATACTTGGCGGGTGAAGGTACCGTAGAGTCGAGTCATGCGTTGACACAAAATATAAAATGCTGATCAGAACTTCTCAACTGCAGTGGGTGCAACTGGGCGCCTGGTACTATTTCCAACTTGGCTATTGCGTGATTTGTTGGGTGCCGGTTTTGTTAGGTAACATTGGTTCAGAAAACCATAGTAGTAAAGACTTAGAAGCTATATTCTTAGAAATATAACAAGCCGTTAAAGGCAGTAGACTTTCGAGCAGTAGCACAGTGCAAGCATTATCGGAGTGTCTTCAGAAATCTTACTCATGACCAACTTGTAAGACATAGTGTGACCACCACCGCCACCATCTCCGAGTAACAAATTACAAGCAGATATCTCAGCCGCAGAGCAAATTCAAAACTCTGACGATCAACAGTTCACTAGGCCCGCAGGCACTAGGGGAGAAAGGGGTTGCGGAAACGGTCAACGAAAAGAGATTACTAGTGTGGTACGTTCTGACCTCCATCCTTTTAACACAGTTAGCAACAATGCAGCTGGGGAACAGTACAAAATCAAATTCCTAGACCAGGTCCATGGGAAATATAGATTTACCAGCACAGGCGAACAAACGAACGTCTAATTCGTATGGAGCTAAGGGGAACGATAACGTTGCAGTCCACCAGGTTAAAGTTCCAGTATCCAGAGCGGGCGGATCTGGTTTGAAGCCGCTCAAGATGGTCTTCAGACCGGAAAATTCCTCTATCGAATTTTGTCTTAAGCGCTACCGAATCTGAACGCAGATCAGAACATTTTAAGTGATCATCCGGCCACTGAATGGTATTGGAAGTTTCATAGCAGCAAATACCTGTTTTTCGCTGTTACAAGAGGAGTAATGAATAATTTTTATAAACAAGTAAAAATGCAGTAGTCTTGGGTCTAGACCATTCGTATCCCAGTTAGATTAAGAGGTGAAGGAGATTCAGACCGATGAAGTCGCCGCAATACATTGGAAGCCACGTTAATGCTGGAATAGTGACGGTCCAGGTCTCCGACACAAGGAATGTCTTTAGAACCAGCGTCACATCTTTTGTTATAGATGCTGTGCCATGAGTGTTTTTAGGGCAAGGTGTCAAACTTGTAGTCTGGAAATCCGGCTGTCCGAAACCAGCGTACACCCTGCTGCTGCCGCATCCAAAACAGTAGGGGTACATCGCGCGACCCAAACTGAGTCGGAAAGCACTACCGAACACTTGCCATTCTAGGACCGACTTGCTCGATACACGTAAGCAAGGAAATCGTATATTTGGGGCTATGGTTATAACGGTAGAACTCGGCCAGAATTCTTTGAAAGCGAGTTAGCAGCAGACGCAAAAGACTAATTTCACCCATATTTATTTGCCATACTTATCAGATTCAGGTGCTACAGTGACTTGTATTGGCAGCGACGCTGCGACTGCATTTAATAATCACCCTCAAAAGCTTAACTGTTCAGGGTACATATGAACAGCAAATAATTCAGAGTGTTACAGGACGAATCGTCATGAAGATAAAGTATCGTGAACAGACGAACCTACTAGAGTTCTTCATTACCTTTATCTAAAACAGGATGTTTATTTAGGTACAGATTATTGGATGAATTTTGGGGTAGTCGACAAAATCACGGATGACTAGGAATCAGTTACAGTATTAAATGTAGGTCACGAAGAGTGTCACGATTCAACCAAGAACCAATCAACCTATTTGCACAATTCTATTGTACGAGAAAGAAGGCTTAGGGCGTCCCCTTTTGATAGATCCCCATATAGATGTGCAATTCTTCTCCGGTTTCGCCGGAGAAAGAAAGGGTTATGTTTTCCGAAATCGAGAACATGTTGGCAATGGATGTTAGCGAAGAGTGTAGGAGTCCATGGAGTAGTAAATGAGTTCTTGTTTAGCGAGGAGAAAAAACTCGGCTTTATACCTTCCTTAGGTGTATGGAATCCTTAGCAGGCTGCCTCCAGCTCGCTATATTACCGGTCTATACATGAAGCACGCCTTCTGACAGATAGTAGTCGTCTCGCTCGACCTTTTGGTTCTCTCTGAAGACTTCGAGTCGCATAATGCATAATGCAAGTCGGCGCTCAGAGATTTTTCTAAACCTGTCACGACCAAAGAATTTTAACGATTTCTAGGTCTCGCCTGATGGAATATGTTAGTGGAGAACTACACATGCATAGTTTGAGCTTTAACCTATTTATTGAAGAAGAGCAGAGTTGAAGGCTTTTAACCAGTTGAAAGGCAGTCTAACGTCTTCGCCAGTCTTACGTATGTCCGATTTCTCGAGGCAGCTTTTTCTTCTTTGCGACGCCGGTCTGCACGGCATCGTCTGTGTGTTAACACAAGCAGAAGAAGAACGAACCGAGCTTCCTATCGCTTATAGGTCCGAGAAACTCTCGAAAGCCCAGCGAAACTATTCGGTAACTGAATGGAAATCAGGGCGGACTTCATAGTAATTACCGACCATGCTTCGCTGCAGGGGCTAATGAAACAGAAAGACTAGAAGGAACTAGAAGGCTCGGAAGACAGTTATTAATATTATTATTAATAGTGATCCCCTGATCTAGGCAGGGTACGAATGGCGCAGAAGCTTAAGCATTTTTTTGGTCGGATATGTAAGTCCACTAAAGGTGATAACTTTGTATAAAGACCTCACAATGACGTCAGACAGTTTCTTTCAAAAGTAGTATATGGATCTATTAGACCCATATCCGAGGTCTATGGACGGAAATATCGGGATACTGATTATAGGTGACCACATGTCCAACTTCCGTTTTTTGCACCCTTTATAGAAATTCACATCGGACCAAATCGTTTGTACTGCAATTTTGAATGACAACGGTATGCAACTTAAATCGAAACACTTCAAGGCTTTCCTGACTAGTTTTGGCAACTCACATGTCTGTACTGTAATCTAATCCCCACAGGCTAACGCAGGCTAAACCGTGCGAAGCATACATAGGTCAGAACCACACCACGCCACCAAGCTGACAAGAAGCTAAGGCCGTAATATCAGCTAGCCGTGAGACAACTTACAAAGTCAGAGCGAATAGCTGAAAGTTGGTAAATCGGTTTTGCTGAACATTTTGCTTGAAGCAATTCGGTCAAGAAATTCAATAGCAAATTATTTTCTCTCGCCTAGGCCAACAGACGTGTGCCGAAGACCCAGACAAGTTTATTTCTAACAAGTGCAAGCGTTATAAGAGTGTGACGAGACCCAATGAAATTTCGTGAAGTATTGTCCAGAAGTAATTTTGTTGTTATTTCTCAAGAACTGATCGGCTTATTCCCGAAATGCTTTTCAGAATCCACCCCCAATCGATCTTCCACTCGTCGCAGCGTATCATAACTTCGCTGCCAGCCGCTTGCTGGTACCCCCGCGCACGTGGCCCAATCTTACTACCCCACGCTGTACCGCTGGCCATAACACCGTGGACCGATCGCATTCGGCGGTGGCTTTAAGGTCTCTTTAAGGTCAGTTGCCGGCAATTATTTGCCAATAATATTATATTCTATTCTTCACCTACAAGAAGGGAATTTTCCTCGACTTGACCATGGAATTCTCATAAGCTGGATATGCGGCATAGTCAACGCACGAACGGTGTTGCCCAATACGACGCGGCTGCTGCACAGCAATCTCAGCGGAGATTGGCGTTGAAAGAAAAAGCCACAACAAAGCTTGGTCGGCGGTATCATTTTGTAGTTTTTTGTATACTCTTACAGAGGGTATAATGATTTCAGTGAGAAGTTCGCAACGCAGTAAAAGAGACGTTTCCGACTCATAATTGTTCTTGATTTTTTTTTTATTCAATGTAAAAAATTATTTAACTTCGGTGTTTTATGACATATTAACTTCTACTCTTTAGGAAATAACACGTTTAATGTTTCATAATTTTGAATAAAATTAAATTCTAAAAAATCTGTCATCAAATAGCTG